GGGAAAGAGGGCCATGCAGTCCTCTCTGTGTCCACTGTCACAAGGAACAGTTAACACAGGGTTACTCCTTCACCTGCACTGGAATTTGCACCAGAGCAATCCAAGCTTTGATTCTGTTCTCAGGTTTAAATACTTTCCCTGCCTCTCTTGTGTAATATCAGCCTATCTTCTGGAGATGGCAGCATTTCTTACAGCTGCCCAGTAATCCAGTCCAGCCTTTTCTCTCAGTGTTTATTCCTTGTTCTAATCCTTGCACTCTCAGCATTCCTGGCTGTTTGAGCTGCTCATTTGGGATGCTCAGCGAGGTGTGCCCATCTGCTTGGTACAAAGCACAGGGGTATATTTATACACATAAATAAAACACATTTGCAGAGAGGAAGGTGCAGGCTTGGCTTCCACTTGAGCTCTGAGATCCCAAGACCTTTACTCACACTCAGAGCAGACAGAACCCATCACTCACTGATAAACTGAGGCACCATCAGCCCAGGTCTTGCAATAGGAAGTGGTTTTCCCTATCAGAGTCCAGCAGAATCTTGGAGAGAGACTGATTTTCTCAAGGCTAGAGAAAGTTTTATAGATTAAAAAAAAATAAAAAATCAGACCAAAACCAAAACAAAAAGTAGCCAAATCCACGAAAAGTAAATATTTCAGCAGTTGAAAAAAGAAAAAAAATCAAATGTTTTTATTTTAGGAAGTAATTTTTTTCAGGATAAAGTTCACCTAGACTGCAGATTTTTAGAAATCTCAGGCAAAGCTGAATGCATTTTGGGCTGATTTCCCTCAGGCTGGACAATAGGGAGGCAATGATAATATGTCTGTTGAATATGGCAATCATCTTCTACTTCAAAAACCCCACTGCTGAGCTGTCCTCCTCTTTTCCTGGCCAATGCCTTCCCCCAGTTCACACCACATGGGCTGACATCACCTAGAAATGTCTTACAAAAACTTCATACATTTGATGTTATAATTACAGCTGCTCACACCTCCTCTGGCACAACCTTGCAGGAATCCCAAAGCTCTGCTGAGATGTTGCTATTTCTGCTAAACCACGTTGAAATTTTGGCCAGGATCCAACGAGACCTTGCCAGTTTTCCTGCCTGTTGGTTGCAAGAGGCAAAATCCTCAAAGCTTTCCTGAAATTTCCCATCAGCTGCTTCAAATTTGGCCTCGAATCAGATTTTTTTTTCCAAGCTCAAAGTACTCTGAATACTACAGGGATGGACAGATGTTTCCAAGAAAAAGTAGGAGGATGGAGCTGGGGCTGTTCAGGAGGGCCCTGGCACCACCAGGCAGAGGAGCTGAACATCCAAAGGGTGTGAAATGTCCCCATGCCAACCCCATGCTCATTATTCAGGGCAAAGAAATCAGCCCTGCCCCTCAAGAGCCAGTCAGAGAGAGAAGAAATCTAAAATCATGCTTGGAAAAAAAAAATAATTTCAGGAATTTAAGTAACCTCTGAGGAGATATTTTAATGAGAAATCTGAAAATACCCATGGAAAACAAAGAATTTTCAAATCAGGATCACACTCCTGGTTTACAATTCTTTTCTCCTTCCTGCCAGTGTAAGAGATTTTTCAGTCAGTATTAAGCACACAAGGGCAACAGAGGATGTGAAAAAGGCTCACCACCAGAGAAAACATATAATACATATGTAAAGCAGAAAATAAACATTTCTGTAACATTTTCTTTTAAATTGTAGTAACGATTACTTCTCTTTTGGGGTGAGATAATCTTCTCTGTTGCTATTTTGTGCTGCAAGTCAAAATGCCTCAAGATTTAATTTGCATTTAGGTAAAGGGTGCTAATAAAACTTGGTCAATGAAGTAAAGAAACAGAAATAAAAGTGACTTTCAAAAAGGGGAAGCCGATTTTTATGGCAGAAGATCAGCGAAATGCAAAAAAGAATAAAACATAAGTTCTGGGATGCCTAGTCACTCTTTTGGCATTACTGATTTTGGGATTTCACAGAGTTATAAACATGTTTTTCCTCCTCTTTAACATAACAGCATCCCTTTAAATCTAATACAGCAGAATAGCTCTTTGAGCTTATTGTTAAAATTCAGAGTATGTAATTATGACAGCTGAATATCTGGACACAAAGATTACTGCAATAAAATAAAACAGAAAAATTCAAAAAGAGATTGGACAAAAAAAACCCCCCAAACACTGTGGGCTTGCATATATTCTCATGCAATAACACAAAAAAAGCGTTCTGAGTTTTGAAAGCATTGACCATTCAGACTCCACTGGAGCAGAGAGGGGCATTAAGTGCCTGGTGCCATCTAAAACCTGTCTGAAGAGCCATCCAGATTTATATAATTGAGCAGTCACTCATTATCTGGGTGGAGGTGAGAAAGAAACTCATCCCAGAGCTCAGAGAGCTGCCAACAGATTAAAGGACTTTTTTCCCCCTCTAGAAACATGTGGACTATTGAGGTCCTTGTTTTGGTGCAGGAATATTCCTGTTTTTACTGTCTTTGCAGAGACATTCAGCACCTGGAGCAGCTCAGGTAAGCCAAAGCATGAGGGATTCAGGAAGGCATTGGCACATGTGTTTCTGTTTGAAACTACTTATCTATCCAATGAAACTCCAAGAAACAAAAAAATGTCATATTTTCAATATTAAAATCCATAGAGGGACTCTACACAGAGGTGCTGTGGCTTCTGCCCATGGTAGGGGGGGTGGGAAATAGGTGATTTTTAAGGTCCCTTCCAACCCAAACCATTCCACGATCCTAAAATGATTGCCATAAAGGACATTCTGACAGCCACAGTGCTTGGAGCCCTGGAGGACCATCCAAGGTTGTCACAGCTCCCAGCTCTGGGTGACTTTCCTGCCCTGGGTGATCCCTGCTGGCTTGCAAAGGTCAGGGGAGAAAATACAGGAGCTGAAAATCAACCAGAGCCCAGAGCAGGCTTGGCCTGGGCAGCCCCATCCCAGCTCCTGTCTCTGTGGAGCCAGGATGGGGAGATCACACAGATCTAAAGAGACAGTGATGGCTTGGGATGAGATTGGATGGGGATTCTTTCTCCATGACAGGAGGGCAATTCTGTCCTGCTGCCCTGAAGTGTTGAAAAAAAATCATCTGGCTTTTCGAGCCTGGAACACATGAATTTTTCAGGCACTCATTGCTTTCCCATCCTTCACTTTTGCCCCTTAAACAGTCAGTAAATCCCACCTGGATCCTGACATGACTCCATTTGGCCTCTCCTCTTCTTCCCGTGGTCTCATGAGGGAAGGGGACACTTGCATGCCTGCAGTGCCTGAGCCCAGAGCTGCAGACTGTCCCTGCTGTACCATCCTGAACCTCACCTACTGTCACAGACATCTTTTATGAAAAATACTTTCCTTAGGATTTTTCCTCCTGAGAAGCTGAGAGGCCTCAGGAACAAAATGTAACCAATGGTTATCTGCTGCTGTGGAATGCAACAGGTGCATCTGGGATTGGTCTCATGGGGTTGTTTCTAATTAATGGCCAATCACAGTCAGCGGTCCAGACTGTCTTGGTCAATCACAAGCCTTTGTTATTCATTCCTATTCTATTCTTAGCCAGCCTTCTGATGAGATCCTTTCTTCTATTCTTTTAGTATAGTTTTAATATAATATATATCATAAAATAATAAATCAGCCTTCTGAAACATGGAGTCAGATCCTCATCTCTTCCCTCATCCTGAGACCCCTGTGAACACCACCACAACCTCCAGCTCCCAGACCAGGCTGGAGCACAGACAACATGGTTCTGCTGCTGGCTTCAGTCAGCATCCCTCTGGAGATACAGGCAGCAATCCCTGGAGTAAAAGCTCCCTCACAGAGCTGTGATTGTTGTGAATGTTTTATCTCTTCAGTTAAATCTTGATCTTTGCTTTTGGAGTTGTGGCATTTATATTTTCCTCTGAAAACCAGCCCTCCTCAAGTAGGGAGTTAATTCCTTTCCTTGCCAGGCAAGGATGCCATCCCAGGACACATTATTCCACTGTCAGTCCTCAAGGGGTTAAACATGAATGCCTGGGCTCAGTGTCACATCACCTACAGCAGTTCCCAGATGTTCTCTGTTATAAATTTAACCTGTCTTTAAACAGGTGCCACATCCCACAGATGACTGGGATGTACCACAGAGGTTGTATTTGTTTCTCCTGACCCTGCAGAAGAGCCTCCCAATGGGCAGGGCCTAACCTTACACTGAGCAGGGCCTTGTGCCACCAAATCTGGCGCTGAGCAGGGACTGGGAGCATCCAAACAAAACCCTGAACAAGCAGCCATGAGCAAGTGCTACTCTGAATTTGAGCTAAGAGATATCAACCATCTCTCAGGAATGGTTTGAGTAGGTTGGACGAAGACAAACCCCCAAACTTCCAGGGTTTCTTTCTATGCCTTGTGTGTGCTTTGGTGTTAAGGCTATTGGTTGTGGCTCTGGGAAGCTGAGCAGTTGTTGGCATGTAGGACCATGGAAATATGTGGATTACTTAAATGTCACTTCAGTTGTTGGTTTGGAGTCACAAGTGAGATTTCAGGAACTCTGAACTGCAGAACCATCAGTGTCTGCTGCCATTTACCAACATCTGGGGGCAAATAAGTGAATGACAGCAGGTTTATCCTCCAAAACCAGGGTTTCTTGGGTTGGCTTTGATCCAGGCTAGCTGCAGCACCAGGCTCCATGGGCCAAGAGGTTCAGATAACACATCAGTGTGGACACATTCTTACCCTGGCTGTGGCCTTGGCACATCCTTGGCCCAGGGTACCAGATTTTAACAGCAGATTTTACCTCAATGACTCTTGGATGCCATAATCCTCAAATACACCATCCTATCCCCAGAATGATATGGGGAAAATAGATTAAATTCCTGGAGCCATTTACCAAGTGCTTAATCTGAAGATCCCTTCCCTGAGCACCACTTCATGTCCCAGGTGGACCCCAGCAGGCTCAAGCCCTTCACCAAGCATCTGTATTTCAGTAAAGCATCCTCAGCCTGTGGAAGAAGGTGGCAGATGCTTGTCTTACCTTGGTCTGGAACGTGCAGAAGACATGAGTGAGGAATGGGTGCTCCCAAGCCAAGGAGAGGACTCTCTTCTCCACCATCGTGCACTCAACGTCATCATCCATCAGCACCACGTCCTTCTTCAGGGCTTTCACAGCAAAATACTGGTCTGTGCTCTTCAGCTCGGCCAGGAACACCTGAAATGGAAACAGCTGCTCAGGAAGAGGGATTATCTCCTCTCAGAACAGCCATGTGAGGCTGGGAGCTGAGCTCCTGGGAATTCACTGGGGTACACCTTAAAAACCTTGATGCTTAAGGCCCCATTCTGCCATTAGGGACTTTGAGTTTGCTCCCCACACCCAGAATAGTTTTATGAAGTTGAGCCCTGGAGAAGGATGGGAAGTTCTTGGCAATTACAGAGGAAGGGTCCTACATGCCTGGATGGACAGGACATTCCAGAGAGCCAAACACCTCTGATGACAGAAACCATCCTCATGCAAATGCTCCTGAGATACATTTCCTGTTTTCTGACTTCAAATAATAAAACACAGAATATTGCTTTGTCAGCATTTGAAATGCAAATACCCTGCACCAGATCTTCAGCAGGTGGAAAAAGATGTCCACCAGTAATTAGACTGGTTTTGTACCAGATGTCTTTCTCTCCTTCCTCTCAGTTTTCAGGTCTGAGCACACAGGCTGGGTCCCCTGTGCTTTTGCAGGAGTTCTTCCCTGGGAATAGGAAAACACCTCCCAGAGGAGTTACAACCTCTGTCTATTTTTATAGGCAGGGAAAATGAAACCCAGAGCAGTAGAGAAGGGTTTTCTAGAGACCACAGAGCAAAGAAGTCTCTCCTGGAAGGCAGTGACACTCCTGATCTTCACACTAACAGCCTGCTGACCCTGTTTCTATAGACTGAATAAATGTGTAAGATTTATTTAAAGACCTCTTCAAAGAGGTCTTTGAAGTTCTCTGCCAGACACCATTTACTGAGTAAGCTCAGACATGTTTTAGCCCTGACAAAAGTTTTATTTACCCTTTTGGCTACTGCTGCATTTCACTTTGTAGCACCAGACAGAGAGTTAGAGCCTCCCTCTGTCTCTGCACTGAATGACAGAAATGCTCACAGTGCTGATGCTGCAGGCACCCTTTTTACCCTCATGTTTGTGCTGGGCACTGCTCTCCTGGGGAATGGATGTGCTGCATTTGTGACCTGTGCTGTGGCTTCCAAGGAGCAGGGAAGCGATGCCAGACCACATCCAGAGAGGGTGGTGGGAGATCTCCTCATGGATCTGCCCCTCAGCCTCCCAGGGTCACACAGAGCTGGAGAGACCCCTCAGGCACTGAGATGTGCACACCCTGTCCCCTCTATGGGGAAGTGAATCTCTCTCCAAGCAAATGAGGGCACCAGGAGCGACACCAGCACAGGAAACTCGTGGGTGAGTTTTTGTTGCAGAAAGGCACAAAATGGCCCATCCTCTCCACACCCACAGTGTGCACTTCAGAGAGATGCAGAAGCCTGCAGAGTCCATGTCAGCATGAGGGTTAGAACAAGGTACAGAATGTGCTTCAATGGAGGCATTCAGGACTTGAACAGATGAGCACCTGAGCAACCTCATCTCATGAGCACCTTAGCAACCTCATCTCATGAGACCTGTTTTGAGGAATGGTTTAGATAAGAAGACCTCCACAGATCCTTTCTTTCCAATACAAATGTTTCTATATTATACCCACACTCCTGATTTCAGGTTAGTCTGGAATGCTGGTTTGGGGTACTCTGGTTTAGCTGTGAGATGCCTCAGCTCTGGCTCCCATGCAAACTGTGGACATGACAAGTGGACACAACACTTTCTAGTGGAAAATTTCCCTGTCCATTGAGTTGGAACTAGATGGTCTTTAAGGTCCCTTTCAACCCAAACCGTTCTATGATTCTATTACTTTCTAGTATGAAAGGCCAACACAGGAAATATTTCACCAGTTGAGGAACTGGCTGCAGCAATTTCTCCAGATCATTTAGCAGACAAAAAGCAGCCCTTTGTCAAGGCACAGTTTCCCCCCTTGGAAAGATGTGGGATGGGGGCAATATGATCCATACTCCTCCTTATTGGCTGTGAAAACACAATGGGGAGTCCCTCTGAAATTGCTTCTCTCAGCTCTGTGCTGGCACTGAGTAACACGAGTCCCCTGCAATGGGGAAGAACAATCCACAATTCACCAGGATTAAAGAACCCACTGAAAACAGGTGGTTCTTGTTTCAAAAGCACAAATTCTTGGCTGCTGCAAAATTTGCTTTGGGCTGCAGCACAGATCAGAGCTGGAAAGAGCAGCTACTGTTCCCAGCTGGGACCTGCTGCTCTGGAGAGCAGAGCTGATCCACATTCAGCTTCCCAGCTCATGCTTCCACCTCCCTGTGAAGAGGGAGAGCACACAGACCTCTCCCATCAGCTCTCTGGGGATGTCCTGGATCCATCAACCTGCACAGAAGGGGAAATTGAAACCCTGCCTGGGGCATTCCTGTCCTGTCATGAGAGAGCAACTAATGGGACAGGGAGAAGGACAAGGTGAGGAGAAGATGGAGTTCAGGATTCAGCCATGCCAGGGCAAGGATTCTTTGAAGACTTGGAGATTTAACAACCATTGTGTGGCAGCAGGACCAGGGCAGTGACCTATACTGGGCACTGGTGAGGCCACACCTCAAATCCTATATTCAGTTCTGGGTCCATCACTACAAGAAAGACACTGAGGGGCTGGAGTGTGTCCAGAGAAGGGAATGGAGCTGGGGAAGGGGCTGGATCACCAGAAGGGGCTGAGGGAGCTGGGAAGTGGCTCAGTCTGGAGCAAAGGAGGCTCAGGGGGGACCTTGTGGCTCTGCCCAACTCCTGCCAGGAGGGGACAGCCGGGGAGGGTCAGGCTCTGACCCCAGGGAACAGGGACAGGACAAGAGGAAATGGCCTCAAGTTGTTCCAGGGGAGGTTGAGATGGGATATTAGAAAAAGTTTCTTCACTGGAAGAGTGCTCAGGCATTGGAAGGGGCTGCCCAAGGAAGTGGAGGAGTCACCATCCCTGAAAATGTTCAAAAAACACGTGGATGAGGCACCTGGGGACACAGTTAGTGGTGGACTTGGCAGTGCTGGGTTAGCAGTTGGATGCAAAAACCTTGGGGGTCTTTTCCAACCTAAATGATTCCATTCATTCCAACCAAATGATTCCATTCCATGTTTTTCCCTAAGTGTCCCTTCAAAGCAGATGTTATTCAGTGCCACACAAAGCACTAAATGCAAATGCACACAGTGGTGTCCCAGTGCCAATGCTTACCTTGCCAAAACTGCCCTTCCCCAGCATCTTGTGCAGGACAAAGTCTTCAATGGTCAGTTTTAACTGCACTTGGTGCTCCTGCTGTTCTTGGGACTGTTCTCCCAAGTCTGACTCTATGAGAGATTCTCCCTTCACTGTGCCCTCCACTGGAGTCTCCCAGGAGATGCCTTGTGGCTCTGCAACACACATCAAAGCACTCAAATAAACCCCTGGACAGGAGCAGAAAATCCCCAGAACACTCACAGGTATTCTGCTTAGAGGTTTAAAAGGGTATTTTAGACAAATGGAAGTGTGGTGGCCATCTCTGAGCAGCTGGCTCTGCTCCCACACTGCTTTCTCTCCAGAGGAAACTTTACTCCAGAGGAAACTGCATCTTCTTCAGTAGCTTTTTTAATTTACAAACTCCTTCATCTTTCTGTTTTATGCCACAAAATCCTTAATTTCTGGCCACTTGTCTTCTCCAGTCCATCTTGCTGCTTGCCATTATGATGCAGTTTCATTTTTCAAGGTCTCTTCAAAACCCTAGGCAAAGCTAGATGAAAAGGTGGGGTGGCATTTTCGTACTGTGCTCCTGCTCTGGATGTGAAGCATTCCAGATCAACCATTCCAGCCAGCCTGGAGTGGAATCACTCTGAGCTTTTTCCAATACTCCACTGACCTGAATTTATAAGAACTTGTAAGAGATTTTGTCCCTCTGGATTTATCCTGTTGCTGTAACTGCTCTAAAACACTGAACACGACTCAGCAAACTGACCCACATGTGAAACAGATGTGAAACCACCTGAGGCTTTACTGTTTCACATCAGCACAGCCAGTTCTACTTGCAGAACAGAACACAAATAAACACAGATGGGGACATCATTTATTTCTCCTTGGGGTCCAAAGGGCACAGTCAGTCTCTCATTTACCTCCTAAACATCTGTTCTTGTACCACAGAGGGCTGTGACACCTAGATCAGCTCCTGGTGAGTGAAGTGGAGGTCTACCAGTGGTTTTCAAAGCTACTGAAATTCAACCTCTACCCAGAAATATGAAATCAGAAAGAAAATTGGCCATGGCGATCAGAAGGATTCCAAATATCCTGTTTAGAGCTTGGCAATAAATTCCCCACTCGTGTCACCTCCAACTCACCAGGTACCAACCAAACAACAACAAAGCTCTGCCCTGTATCACCAGGAGGAATTACCTTTTTTCCCTGATGCTGGCAAGGCCTGAAGTGGTGTCACATCCTTCACAGGAACAGGGAAGCCGATTTCCAGAGGTCCATCCCTGGAGATCTGTTCACTGTCGCGCTGGCAGCGAGCCTGGGGCACAGAAACCAGCAAATTTTTGAGCCAAAATCACGTGCCAAGCTTATGAACAGCACCGTGACTTCTTGAGTGTGACTCACAAAAGCCAAAATCTAGAAGAGCATCTAAAAATGCTTCAACTATTTACCTGCTGAGTGCTCTCTATCATTGCCAGAGCTTCAGCCATCAGTTTCTGGTTCACTCCACAAAGATTTGCTACTTTTGCCTGGCACTTGTGGTGGACGTTCATGCCACATGCTGAAAGAGAGAACACGAGGACAATGAAGGCTGTAAAGGGGTGGGCAGGAGCAGGTGTTGGCCAGGGACAGAGATCAGCCACCTGAAGAGTCCTTGAGATGGTACTCAGGTAGTTTTTTTGTTCCCTATGGAGAATATTTTAGTATTTTCCTCTGGCCAGGGATTGCATTTCCACATCCATCAGCCTCTGCAGGTTCAGGCTACTAAAACTACAAGCCATCATCTCAGAGATAAACAGGATCCTCCCATTGCTTTGGGATGATGAAGACAGTGAAATGTCTTGGGTCTGACAGTGGAAATAGAGCTTGCAAGTTCATACTGGGGGTGATTTGGGGGGATGAACAGTGTCACTGTGATGCTCTTTGTCTCTTTGGGAAGCAAATCATCATCCTGCTGGATCAAATATCTCTCAGCACATGGACAGCTGTCCTCACTCTTGAAGAATGATCCTCCTTGAAGGACAGCCCTGTAGACCACTCCTTCACCCTCCTGGGTGCTGGCAGGACCCAGGACATTGCTCTGGCTGCCCTGGGTGATTCCAGACCCTGGCAGGGGCTCAGAGACCTTGGCACAGAGTCACAAACACCTGTGCCTTTGATTTTAGCCCATGGAAACAATTCCCAACTTTGTGTGAGGAGTTACAAACCACAAGGGTTTGAGTAGAATGATAGTTATTTGTCACAGGGTGAAAAAGTAGAATTTTGGGGATTTAGAATGGGGGTTCAGGAGGCAAGATGGAGGAATCTGGGCATGTCTTGTCCTTCTTCTCCTTCTTCTTGTCCTCCATCTTCTGCTGTGATGGTGACACTTCTGGATTGGTTTAGAGTAGAGCCAGGCTGTCTAACATAGGTGATAGGTATTGGAAAATTATTGTAAATAAAGTACAGGTAGTTCTTAGTATAAAAAGCCAACACCACCCCAAGGGCAGGGACTGTGCCACAACCCAACCTGCTGGACAGACCTCAGCAGGTCAGAGAAAGAATGTCATAGATAAGGGAAAATAAACAACCCTGAAAAGCAGAACCAAGGAATCTCGACTTCTTCTTCGGTCACGGGGCTGGGAAAAAAGACTTTTAATACCTCAGGGGTCATCTCAACCACAGAAACCCGAGAGGGTGTCACCTCATACTGGTTTTGCAGAGAAGGGCGATAAACGGAGTTTGGATTTTCAGACTGCCACCCTCCAAAGACAACGACCCCTGCCACGCTCAGCTGGTGCCACCCTGGCCGGGGACTCACCGTCACACTTCAGCCCCTGCCGTGCCAGCCCCCAGAGGAGGGTGCCACAGTGCTCACAGAAGGTGGGGCTCTTGTAGTTGTACACTTTGAAGCGGTGGGGCATGTCGATCTTGAACCTCTCCTTGTGGAACTGCAAGACAAAAGCCAGGCTGAAAATCCACTCCTCATTTCCACCTCGGCTCCATGTGGAAAACCAAACGTGTGCCACAGAAGTTGGTGTGTCTACTGCTCTTTTATCCTTGGTGTGACTGCCAAGCAGAAATTGTTTGTCAGGCACACAAATTTTGATACATAGTGACTGCAATTCAGAGGGAATTGGGTTATTTCACCCCTGGCCTTGACCAAAAAACAGCTTGTGCCTCATTAACATTCCCAGCCTCCCCTAATGCTCAGTGGGAAAACATTGGTACTTTTAAAAATCATTCACCACATCCTGCAATGGATGTCTACATTTGTTGTCATGAATCACTCCTTGGAAGAGCCTGTTGTAATTCTTTTAGTATGAAAGGTGATGACAAAGTTGGTTACATCTACCCTGGAGATGTCAGAAGAGAAGGGAGAGCAATCTCATCTATAAAAATTGTAGGAGAACAGGAGCCAGGGTGGGACTGAGAGTAAACAGATGTTGTAGGACACAAAGTGAAGGGAATAGTTCTATCAGGAGTTTAAGATCTGGTTTTGCCTACCAAAAAGAAAATTTTAGAATAAACTGGCATGAGAAAAACAAAGCAAATAACAGCAGAGACATCAGATCTCCCACTGACTGTTTCAGATAACAAAAGCACAGATTTGTTCAGGCACAAATCTGAAAATTCAGCCTCATGTCCAGCCTAACATTGGATAGTGAAGAGTTTTCTCCAGTAAATCTCCACCTCGTGTCCATGACTTCCCTCTGAGTTATACTTTATGCATTAGAAAAATGTCAGTTCTGATTCAGCAACTGCTTATTCTGCAGCTGCATTTGAGTAAATCTTAAGTAGGAGGTAATGAAATCACTGGGAACATAAAAAGCAAAAGGCATGGATGAGGTCACAGAGTCCTTAGTAGGTCCTTTTGCTTCATCAGAAGTTGCTTTGCAGTGGTGTAGGAGAGATCTGAATGACACTCAAGACTTTTTAAAGGGAATCATAATAATAAAATAAAATAAAATAAAATAAAATAAAATAAAATAAAATAACAAATAGTAATACAACCTACCATTGTTTCTCTGCTATTGATTGCTGATCCTGTACACTTGGCTATTACTTTATCAATGCACTTCTTATGAATGGCAGCGTTACATTCTGCAACAGCAAGGGTGTCATGGTGTTAATAAAGAAATTTCTTAAGAAAAGATTAAGTAAATAATGACAATAAGAAAAAAAAAGAAAGTTTCTTACGTCTGCATTGATAGCCTTGTTTATTCAGACCCCTGAAATGAACAGAGCAGTGGTTAATCCTGAGTTATCTGAAAGCCTCAGTAGAAGAAAGGAGAGCAATAAGTATCAAAGAAGGAGCTTTGCTTTTTATCACTCTTTGTAGAGATTATTTAATTCCATTATCCTCATTTAATCTAATGGTGGAGTGATTCTCTATGGTTCTCACAGCCTTTTCAGCACACATTCACATCCTGAATTTCATAATATCCCAAACAGAAAACTGGACCGAGGAGAAATACCTGTGCATTTTGCCAAACCCAAAAATATTTGTAAAAAATAAATTAAAAAGTGAGGGGAATTTTTCACAGCTGGAATTACAACTGCAAACCACATCCTTAAAGTGACGCAATAACTCCACATGTAAAATGCCAAGGGTCTTACAGGAGGAGCACAGATACTTAACAGGGAATCATGGAACCTTTGAGGTTGGAAAAGACCTTTAAAATCATCCAGAAAAGACCTTTGAAATCATCCAGTCCAACCATTAACCCAGATCTTGCCCATGTTGCCCAAATGTTGCCCATTTCTATGTCCAACACTAAGCCACATTCCCAAGTGCCCAGTGACACCAGGAAGGGTTCCTGGGGTGAAAAGAAGAAGAAGCCCAGATCCTTTTGCATTTACCAGACAAACTCGTGGCACACAGAGCAGAAGGTGGGCTGTGGGAAGAAGGTGGCTGTGAACTCGTGGCACTTGACATTGTGGATTTTGGCCTGTTTGATGGCTCCCCTGCGCTGGTGCAAGGAGAAGAAGCTTTCAGTCTCACAGTCAGCCAGGTCCTTTGCATCTGGGAGGAGAGGGAAGGTATTTAAGTGTACCTTGTCCTGATCAGGTACCTTCAGAAAATGCAAATTGCCCAAATACTACATGACTGAAGCTAATGATTCACTCATGGCAACGAATACTCCAAGAAATATCATTTTATGAAACCCACAAAAGTCTCATTTGGATGGCTTTTATCCACCATTCCTACACTGAAATGACTTTAGACTTGGGACACTGAGCTCTCTTAATATTCATAACACTGCTCTTGAAAACTAGAACAAAAATTTCCCAAGGAGAGGTAATTTAAACATAAAATTTTGACTTTGTACTGCACTAAAGAAGCATGTCCTAAAAGGATGAAATTACATAAAATAATTACTGATATATGGACACAAACACATGTCTGTATATATATATATTTATGGGTATTTAACAGAATCTTTTCTGTGTGCATATACATTTGTCAGTAAGCAGATATTTATGTCCCAGGATATTCTTCTTGTTATTTTTCCATGCCAACACTTGCCTTGCTGTTTGCTGTGCCCTTGCTGTTACTCACAGTTATTTAAACTTTTTAGGACAGCAAACAAACCAATTCTGACTTCACGTGCACTTCTACATGTGCTTGTGCCTACAAATCTGAAATTCACATAGAAAATCAATCTCTGCTTAGTTTCACTCCTGCACTGCACAGTGAGTCACACAGGTAACCTGTAGGAACTGGCTCCCTGTGTGATCTGATGCTGATCTTGATATTTGTTATAGAAGCACAACTTGCATTTTCTATGCCTGGCCTTCCTAACCCCTTTTAACACACAAACAGCAGTCCAGTCCACATTAAAGGTAGGGATGGTTAAGAAAATATCAGCATGGCCAAGGCTGCTTTCAGTGATTCTCTGTCTCTATGATTGGAAGAGCCTTCCAGACATCTGCACCTCACAGCTACACCCTGCACCTGAGGGTATGAGAATTCTGGCAACAAAGATGGGAGAATAAGACCAAGCATTTGAATTAAACCCATTTCCTTCAACAGAGAAGCATGCAGCCCTTTCTACAAGAATTTTTCCTTAATAGCCAACCTGAGGCTGTTCCCTGAGGCTGTTCCCTCTCCTCCTGTCCCTGTTCCCTGGGATCAGAGCCTGACACCCCCTGGCTGTCCCCTCCTGGCAGGGACTTGTGCAGAGCCACAAGGTCCCCCCTGAGCCTCCTTTTCTCCAGCTGAGCCCCTTCCCAGCTCCCTCAGCCCCTCCTGCTGCTCCAGACCCTTCCCCAGCTCTGTTCCCTTCTCTGGACATGCTCCAGCCCCTCCATGAATTTCTTGCAGTACATAAAGCAGAATTATTTCAGAGGGAGCTGCCTCCTCATGTATCTGTTCTGTCTTGTTTAGCATAATGGGAATATCTGCCATTTAGTGGCAAACCAGCCAAAAAATCTGCCTTGCAAATCGCAGAAGAATAGTCACCACACAATAAAAATCACTTTTCTGGAGTTTTCGTTTCAAGCAGTTAATGTTTGTTGTCATGGATCAGTCAGTAATAACATAGGCATTGCTTTTAATGAAGACTCCATGTCTGCCCCAGAGCCCAGAAATCACAGCCATAAATTAAGAAACAGAATCACTTGCCACTGATTTCCAGGAAGTATCTTGCATTCATCAGCATTCGCCCTTGAGGCTTCAGTTCTAGCTGGTTGAGATAAGTGAAAAACAAGAAAAAAAGTCCATTAAACAGTCACTCAGAGAAGGAAAAATCTTTTCAGATGACTTTCAAGTGATCTCCTTTTCCCACTGGGAACTGATGAATAGCAATGAATGCTAATTTTCAGGTTGCTCATACCCATGTGAGGCAGCAAGGTAGGGTAGGAGCAGCTACAGAGAGAGGAGGCTGGATCACCTCATATCAAACACTCAGAGAAGCATGATAGGAAAGATGAATGTGATTAAACCACAGAAGATGTAGGCATCTTTTTTGACACCAAATTAGGACCACCACTATCTACAGAGAAAACTTGTTCCCAATGGATCCTGCAAGGGGAAAGTGGAAGCAGTTCAAAAAAACCCAGGCAGCTTCAGACAGGTGATGCTGAAATCTTTCAGGCACTCAGTTCTGCAAGTCTAACTCCTTTACAGTCAACCTGAGGGATGCTACAAGCTCATTATTGTGGTGCCATGGTCCAGTTGAGGTGTCGGGGCTGGGTTGGACTCGATGATCCTGAAGGTCTCTTCCAACCCAGTCATTCTGTGTGATTCAGGCATTTTTTGGGGCCTTCCATCTGGACTTGACAATTCCTACCTACTTGACTCATCATCCATAAGTGCCTTTGGAAATCTGAATCCACTGGACTATGTATAAGATGGATAAGATGGATAATAAGATGTATTTTAAAGATTTCTGCCAGGATCTTTCTTGCTTGGACTAGCAGGGAACAGAACCTTACATTCAGCATTCTTGTGAAGACTGTTCAAATTTACGCCACCATAACTTCAGTGATTTTTAAGGAGTTGCTCTGACATAACTCTGAACTCAGGCAGCTGTGAATCAGCTGCTTGATATCAGATAAAATTTTTAAAGCTGTTTCCCCAGAGAACATAAAATAACTCATGTTCAGCCAGTCATACTAACATTTGTTCCCAGTGGGTTTCCTCAGCAAAGATTAATCCGTGGGCACAGCTCACCTGAAGCAGGATCCTCACTAGCACAGGGCAGGTTTCAATTAAAATAAAAGTGCCAAGCTCTTCTTTTCTGACAAGTCTGTCCCTCAAGTCACACCCAAGTAGCCTCCAAACATTATTCCAGCCAGTCCCCACTGTGCTGCCTGGCATGGACACAAGGACACCTCCCCTTACCCTGCCCCAGCTCCCCAGCACATCCTGCAGGAGAAGAGAGTGATGCTCACCCATATCTCTGTCTTCCCATTGCTCTTTTTGCACCTCTCTGCCAGCACCTTGAGCTCCACTGTGGTCTCTGAGACCATTTCAGCACTTTTGTCCTTGACCACGATGTGCATGACCCGGCCATTGTTGATGTGGGCATCAAAAGTGCTGTTCCAGGGGGGGTACATGGTGGGCTTCTTCTGCACATACACTTGGCCATTCTCTGTCAAGAGGGAGAACACAAATCCATGCAGTGAGGGCAGTTCATGAGACCAAATACAGACATTTACCCTAAAAATGTAATTTCCACCCTTGACCCCACCAGTTCTGCTGGGGACATCTCTAATGCTGACCCCAACACCATAAACACTGTCTTCTAATCAGGTGAATCCCATCCCACACAACTACTTTGTTTATCACCGGTCCCAAGGCACTGCAAAATGAGAAAGGTTTGCTTCAAACCCCCCAAAATTTGGGATTAATGTCCAGCCCAGGAGCCAGCTAAGGGATGTTAAAGCATGAACAGTCTTGCAGACCTGTAACTATCCCACAGGGATGTAGAGTTTTCAATGAAACAAACTTTCCCTAATGCTTTAATTCCTCTTCCTTCACAGCATCTTAATATGGTGATGGGTAAAAAAATGGGCATCTCTGAGGTTTGCAGAGGTTTCTCTCTAACTGGTCTCTCTGAAAAGAGTCTCAGCCAGATTTATCTCACAGAGCCAGTTTTACTTCATACAGCCCTGTAAAAGTCTTGGATGCTTACTCAAGGTAAATTCTCTAGCACACTTACTCTTTGCAAATATTCAACCCATCAAATGCTGAAGCTGAAGGAATAAGAGGAAAAAAGCAGCAGACCTGACCCCTGTCTAAAGACCCTGCTGCTATTTCCAATAATTCCAGATAGAAAAAAAACATGCAGCTGGAAGGTAACACATGCTGAAGAAAAATTTTCCCTAAATGAGAGGACTAATTCACAAAAAAATCCGAGACAAAAATGAGACATAAACTTTCCAGCATCCCGGAAAACAGAAATCTCAGTAAAGGACCATCATTTCTTTGCTGCATCAGTGAAAAAGCCACAGATGTGAAACACAGCACTTGCAAAACAAGTGCTTTCATTTGTGTTGCACTCCAGGACACCAGGCTTAAATAAACAAGCCCTGGGATGTGAATGAACTGCCCAATATACGGGATCAGACAGTCACCCCCGGTGCGTCCCGCTGACGGCTGTGGAATTCTGCCAGGGATTAATCTAACCCCAGGCTCCTGAAAAATGAAATTGCAACTGTCTTTCCCGGGAAGCAGCTTCCACTGTGGCTGGGAGAGCTTTTCCTGGAGGCTTTGCTGAGTTCAAACACGGAGCAGGAGCCTTCATGAAGCAAATGTCACCAAGGCAGGTGGCAAATGGCACCCGGCCAGGTGGCTTGTGAAGGCAGAAGCCACTTTTAAAGGGCAGACTCTTTTTATATCTCAGAGGCACACATAATTTCTGAAATATTTTGTCATCAGTTATAAATTGCTGTAGCACCTCCAACTGTACGGAGATGTGGTTTGTTTTTCAGTTTTTTCTGGTTGCTTTTTTTTTCAGATTGCATTATAATGTGACAAGGTTCTTTTACAAAATAAGCAAGTGGAAAAATGTAACAGGCTGCCCAAGATCTATCTGAAATTCTTCACTGAGGTCTTGTTGCGACATCCCTGTGTCCACAGAGGATGTTCAACACTCTCAGATCCCTGGGGACCAATGACCTTTTTATTATGGCTGGTTGACAAGGGACAGCCTTTGGCATGAACCCAAACTCCCTGTTTTTGGAAACACATTTATCATCTACCACTGTTCTGTTTGTAAAAACCCAGCCAACCAACCAAACAAAACCAAAAAGCCCACAATTTGCCAGTGCTAAACATAGAACCACAGAATGGTTTAGGTTGGAAGAGACCTTAAAAAACTCTCCAGTTCCATTCCCCTGCCATGGGCAGGGACAACTTCCACTAGACCAGGTTGTTCCTTGGCCTTGAACATGTAGGCATGTCCTGCCCTGCTCAGCAATAATTTCTGCCCTAAAAAAATTTTCATGGCCAAGTGTCAGTGCACAAGGCCAGGATGATTTGCATCTCTCACTGGCTGTGCAGCTGGTCCACTCCTACTCCTTGGTCATGCCAAAATTTTAGCCAAAATTTGTATATCAGGTATATATATATATAAATATATATATATATATATATATTTAACACATTACAAATGAATAGCAAGTGCTTTGTCAAACCAAGGAGCTGGAGAGCAAATTATGACCAAAAGAAAAATGATCATGAAGCAGGGGTAAGACACAGTTTAGTGGTGGAACTGGCAGCATTGGATTAACAGCTGGACTTGACATTATTGGACGTCTTTCCCCATCTTAATGATTCCATGATTCTACCTCAAATATACATAGTTAATGGTTGTCTGGAAACCTTTTCCCTTCTTGGAGCCTGTTAGAGCAGGACAGCTCCTTGGGATGGTGAGCATTCCTGGAATTTGGAGTCAGGCTCATCTCCCTGCACGTCAGACAGAGACCTCTGAGTGGTCTGTGTGGTCAGGGGGGAGCTTTTCCAGGGTGTGATTCACTCCTCATGGATGTGTTCCTCAGGCTGGGATTGCTCACACATCACTACCTGGGAATTACAGGGTGCATGGATTCCATGGTGGCCTCACTTTCCTCAGTGCCCTTAAGGTAAAGGTGTCCATCCACACATTTAAACACCCTCCAGCAGATTAACACCTCCCACAGGTGCTTCAGCCCACCGTGGGAGGGGAGGTTCACTGATGAGATGAGTGCCTCTGGCTGTCCCACCATGCTCTGAGCCACCGCCAGATGAAATTACATCCCAGCAAACAGAAATCTCCTAATAGCAGAAAGTCGCCTGCACTCAGTCCTCAGTAATGGAGAAAAGTTCCCTCAAACACATTTTTTTATTTCTTGTTGGTAGAGGATTTATTATAATAATAATAATATAAAAATTAGTTATAATTATTACAGTAATAATTAAAATAAATATAATTACTATAATGATTACTGACTCTGAGGAGCAGTAAAATTATATCCCTTAGAAAATACTTTTGTGTTTGTTGGATACCAGAAAACACTTTCAGTTCTGTGTCAGGCAAATAAATATAGGTCTGTTCTGACCAAGTTGATTTTATTCACTTTTAAACTGACACAGATTTCAATTTGAGTTATGGCTTTCAAAAGCCTCATTAAAGCAAACAGCCAAGCTCTGCACAGAGCTAAAATAGAATGTATTTTCTGATAAAAGTGAGATCTTAGGGATATCTTGTCATGCAGTATTTTCTTTCCTTTTGAATTTACTATTCACCACATCTTCCATTATTATTTGAAGTATCATTTAAGGCAAGACAAAGTTCAATGTGATAAATGCTGACTCTTAAACAAAAAATGAACCCCAGTGAAATACTGAACTATTTTAAAATTCTAATTTTTTAAAACTACTTTAAGATCCTCTGGGGATTACAGTCATGGGGATTCTCAATAAATAGGGATTTCTAAGTGGATTTTATTTTTCAAAGAATCACAGCAGTCAAATTAGAAATTTATCAAAGATTTAAGCTAAATATCAGCCCATATGAGTAACTCCCTAACACTGAAGGTCTTGCTCTTCATGATTCTTCAAAAGCACAACTTGAGAACTTTTCATCCTTTCACTGGAATTATTTTCATGCATAAGACATAGAATAAATGATTTCCAAAGGAGGACTCATCAGTGTTGCTCAATCAGGATAAATGTGCAACAATCCATAGATCCAGACACAGCAAACAGCTTCTCAGGAGGTTTCATTTTCAAACCTTTTACACAGCACAGCAATTACACAGATAAATTAACTATTTCTGCAGAGACTGGGCTGAGTACCTATTTTTTTTTTTTTTTTTAATTATGGAAGTGGCTGGGTCTGTCAGTTTTCCCCCAAAAAGTGATTAACAAAGATGGCCCTGCCAGAATATTTTAGCGCACTCAGATTCCACCCGTCTGGAGTCCCACTGACAAACCAACAACTGGTCTTGGAAGGGTGAAACCAAATACAGCTCGGCTCATCTGCTCTGTCACATGCTGGGGCTTGTAATGCAGCTGGTAATATCCTCAAATTGGAGATACAGATTTGCTTGGCACCATCTTAAAATCAGATTGCCTTGCAGACCACACCAAACCCAAACTTGCGCTGTGCTGGGACACACAAAGGGCTTCACCAATCTTTATAAAGTGGGGTTGGAAATGGATGATCTCTGAGATCTCTTCCAAGCCAACCTATTTTATGGTTCATTCTAGTTGCCCACACAGAGGAAATGACACAGAAAAGCACAGACATGAATTATAGAAGCCCCCATCCGCACTCAACCCCTCCCCACCTACCTGACTCCACGGCTTCTTTAACCATCACGGCGCAGTAGGGGTTAATCACCTCCCCCTGGGATGGCAGGTAAGGGCCACTGTCATAGTTGGACAAACCAATCCTCAGGAAGGGAGACATGACAAGTCCTGTGCCAAACAAGAGACAGGCAACACTTGGGACAGAGTCTAAAACTTCCCCTGGTTTTGAGCACCCCTTATCTCCGTCGGGCAGCGGACGCTGGCCGCTAGTTATCCATCCAGCTGGAGCCTCTCTGACTTCCTTCCACGGACTGAGCCAGCACTGCTGGACGTGCCCAAGGTACTGGAACTCAGCTCTTGGCTTAACCACGGAGCTGAACTCATCACAGGGCTGGGAAAACCCACAGGAGCAGCCCTGAGCACTTCACACCGACTGCCGGGAACGAGGATGACAATGCACAGGAGTCACAAATCAGAGCTTGCTTGGCCTGGGATGAACCTCTGCTGCAACTGATGTTGAGTCACATCAAGAACCTGAATGCTGTGGGCGTAGAGAGGGGTTTGGGAATACTGTTGGAAGCCTGCAAGCTGAATATGAAACTGTGAAATAACTGTGCACTATTTATATATGGCATGGGAAGGAGCTCAGGCATTCCTGGGTGCTGAACCATATTCACAAGTGAAGCTATAAAGAGAAAGCTCAGCTCATATGAACCACACTGTATAGAGAGTGAAACAAAATACCCCACCAGAAAAAACAGCACCTCAGGATTTATTTTAAGCAGCTGAAAACAGAAACAAATACAATCAAGGTGCCAGGAAACACTACAAAACCTTTGGGCTGAAAAACTATAAAACTTTCTCTGCAAGGTCTTTCAAAGCCTTCAGAGAGAAGATTTAGTGAAACCAGAAATTACTAACTACTGTAGCTAGTGCCCATCATTTTACCATCCTGGCCCAAAACTGGGATTTACAACCCAACATTTGTCTCATTGTCTGAGCCTGTCATTCCTGGCTTCTCTTCCAGTCAATGGGGAGCAAGAGGCACTTTGAACTCAGCTGCAGATGTCTGTCTTGGACCACCAGAGTTAAAAGCCATCAGTGCTATCACCAGCTGTTATCTGTCAAATATACTGACAAGGACACATTGTTCAAGCACAACAGCAAAAGGATGAATGACTCGTGGTGTGGGATGCAGCCAAGTCTCTTCTGCATTTTACACATAAAAAATTATCTTTGTGAAGGGAAGCTTCTCTAGCCTCACTTGGAAGAAGTTCCATGTGTTTTGCTGGGAATAGCATTTTCTTACCTGCAAATGGTATTTTCCTGACAGATGAGTTCAGTCTCTGAGAGGGGCTTCTCTTTTCATCACTATTGTGGACACATGGAAAGGTTTTTTTCAGCTGAATGAATATCTGCTCCTTTGGCCAGGCTGATTTCAAAACCTGCTCTCTGTTCAAGGACACAGGAGGCAAAACCATCAAGGAGAGAGGAGAATTTGAGGAACCAAGATGTAGCCCTTTGCTTGAGTGTCTTCTCTCTTCCCCAGAAGTGTGGAGTGATGAGTTTCCATCAGCCCCTCGTACAAAAGTCTGGGGCTGCTACAAAACCCAGAATAACTTTTTGTCAGCACATGGCCAGGTGGCAGGTTGTTATTCCACTCGTATCCTGATCTGATGAGATCTTCTCCTTCCTCCTGTTTTATAAAACAAAGACAAACTGCTGCAGTTATTGCTGGGACTGGAACACCAAATCTTCTGGCTGAGCATTCACAAGCACTGAGCACTCACATTCCAACATTTTCTCACACAGATGGCTCATGAAGCCAACTGTCCGTGTTCTCTGACAAAGAATTTGCCTTCCCAGAAGGTTTCCCTAAATTTACCACTCTACATCAGGCCAATTTATACAATAAACAGCATCTGAAGACTCTCGTTCCCATTTGAGCTCCTGGCTGTGTTAGCCAACAACCAGGCTGAGTTTTCAGGAAAACAGCAAAAAAGTCAAAAACTCTCTTGAATACTGCAGTCAAAAGAGAAGAAAACCTTCAGGTGTCTGGGGAAGAGAGGATGGGGCAGAGAAAGAGAAAAATGTCCTGTGACTTGTGTCTGTTGTGTATCTCTGGGAATGCCGAGGTCATGGATCTCTGCACGTGGCATTGCCCTCAACCAGGAAAACATCAGAGCTTCTCCAAAGTCCCAGAAGCTGGGAAAGGCAAAGCACCAAGTGGGGCTGCATGCAGGCAATCAGGACAATCCTGTTCTCCTCTGGATGAGGCCAGCATCTCTGAAGGGGGTTTCACATTAGCCAAGTGCCTGATGAAGCTGCCTTGGAGAGCCACTTGCATTTGTACAGATCCTCAAGCACAGCCAGACCTGTGGCACTGCAGAGAAGTACAGTGAGTGCTTTGTGAGTGCTCCATGGCAAGAAAAGGCTAAAAGTTCTGCCTCAGCTGCCAGAAGCAGAGAAACCTGATCAAATTAAGAAGGGAAAAAATCTCTTCAGTGGAAAGAAATTATACATATATATATTTTAATATATATTTTTCTCTTTCTCTCTGTGCAATGCAGACATGTATTATTACTTAGACATTTCCTTTATTTCAAAAAACAAGAAGCCTATGAAGTCTAAAGACAAAAGGAAAAACAAATCAAAGGGTCTCTGGCAGCAGAGGTGAAATCCAAGGAGCTGTATATTCTGCAGCATCAGTGTGGAAAGCTAAAGATGGTCAAAGACTAAAACAACAGCCCAAGAATCTTAATTGTGTGAACAGAAATGTCCTCTTTGCCTCTACCATACTCCACCATTTCTGGTCACTGCTGGGTAAGAAAAAATTATGATCCTCTTCCAAATCCCTAATTCCTACACCTCTGGCTTCAGGAACCTCTTGTTCCACAAGCAGGAGCAGGAGGAAGTGCAAGAGGTTAAGCATTCCCTTACCAGGACTTTCCAAATTCCCCTTTAAAAGCTCAGAGTGGCAGTCAGAATTATTAGTCAGTGTGTTGGGCATCTAAGAACATGGGTGTTATTAAAAGAATCCAAAGATCTTTTGATGGCTCCTCAGCAGTAAAATGTGGTGGCACTATTGACTCAGCTACTAAAGAAACAAAATTAGGACTAAATGTTTGAGCTGCAATTCATCACACTTCAATTAAATCAATGTATTCACAACAGCTAAATACGAAATACTATATTCACACTTGCTATATACTCCTATCACTGCTCCAAAAATCACAGCTTGGCTGAGCTACAAGACACCTGCTCAGGTCTGTGGATCAGCACCCTGAGCAGTGGCATTTAAAATTTTCCTTCATCTTAAATGCTGGATGTTCCCTCCCTCCCCTCCAGTGCAACTCTTCATTTTGGCTCTCTGCCATCAAGCACCTCCTGATCAGGTACCCCAGAGATGTCGTGGAATCTTCACTCTTGAAATATTCAAAAGGCATCTGGGCATGATCCAGGGCAGCTCCTGGTGTCCCTGCTTGGGCAGGAGAGGGGGACAAGAAGAGGTCACTTCAAAGCTCAAGAGGTTCTGTGGAGATACAGGGCAATAGATCTCACCAAGACCCAGATGTCTGCAACATCTGCATCCCCATGCCAGGCAGACCTCTGGGCTCCTGAGAGAGGAACAGGGGGAAATTGGCACCCTCAGCTCCTGAGCTGGAACCACCAATGTGAGATTTCCCTCCTGTGAGAGCCAGTGTGAATACCTGGGGATGTTCTGTTCACATGAAGCACCTTCACTGCAAGATGTGGTGCTGATCAGATTCCTCAAACCATTAAAATTTCAATGGATTCCTTCAATGTATCAAATCTGAGAGACCTGTGCTGGGACTCCACATAAACCAGTTTATTGCAGGAGATGCTCTGCAGTCTCCAGCAAACAGGTGAGGACTTCACACCAGCTGCAAAGCAAACAGTGGGTTTGGCACAGCAAGAGTCAGCACTGATAAACCAACAGCTGCCCTCCTAAGCCTTGCAAAGGCTGGCTCAAGCTTGCTAAAACCAGAGTTTACTGCTGTACCAGCCTCGTGTGAGCACTCTGCTCTGGGGTGGATTTCTTTATGCTGCCCAATAAATCAGACAGATAACTGGTTTCCTGCTTTCCTCTCTTTTCTCCCACTGTCTTTCCTGAAACCACCTTGGCTTTGGTCCACACATCTGTTTTCCAGGTCAGATTTCCAGTGTTTGCCACTCCAGGGCTGCTGCTTGGCTGGCATCCATGGCCATAAGCAATTAAGCAAGAGCTCAGCTCCAGCACGGCTCTCTGCAATAGCAGCAGTTTAATTTAACACCACAAACAGCTGCACTGGATATGGAGAGAGTCTGCTTAATTTCCCAGTGGAAAGGATCCTGTGAGGTGTCTGAAAACCAAGGATTAAATGCAGTTTTCTCTGAAAGGCAACCTGCAACCTTCTCCTCCTGAAACCTTAAACAAAACCTAATTTGGGTTCAGCAATGCTGCACCCCACTTTGCTGGCACTGGGGAGCTGCTCTGCCCACTCTGGAGAACAATACAACATATGGAAACCATTCCCAGATGATATTAGGAAGTAATAAACTCTTTAACATCCTTAATCAATTGTGGCTAAGCAGAGAGGAAGAAATGAGTTCCTGCTCCCAGTCAGCAGAAGATCTGGATGGAGGACAGCTGCCTGTGATGGGATTTGTGCTTTTGCCTTTCACTGACTGAAAATGGATGCATGTATGACACAGTAAAGATGGCAATTTACTGAACAAGGGCCAACTGAAAAGGGAAATATTTCTAGATTTGAGATGCTGCTTTCCTAATGTCATCAAACTCTCATTTTCTCAAGGTCAGAGGGAACATTTCCAACTCTCTCTCCTTTTTTTTTTATGCAAAACTGCTTGCAAAATGAGTTCATAATCTCCAGATCAGCATCACTAAGAGGGAAAGAAGAGTTATAGCTGGAGGGTCTGAACTTTCTTTCACCCCCTTTCCAAGGCATCTCCCAGCAAACAGGCAGGTCCTGACCCTGCAGAGATCTGTGTGTAAGGCTGGTGGAGACCTGCACATGAGCATTACACACCTCAAAGCCTTCTGCAGGTTTCAAGAGCAACCCTGAACACCAGCAGGGATGGCTGAAATCCCTTTCTCCATCCCCTGACTCCTCATATCCCACAGAGCAAACAGGAGGGAATGGGGATCCAAAATGAGTCCCCTGAGTGACTCATTTTAGGTGTCCCTATCAGCTGCTATTTCAAAGGAGATCACACCAGCCTGCCCATGAAGGAGGAAGTTCAGAACCCCTCTGGGTGCCATCCAACATTTCTCACACTTTCCTTTGACAAAGATGTGGATCAGAGGAGGGAAAGGAGGGGAAGCTGCAGAGCCCTTTGATTTTCCCTCTCTCTGCTCTCATCTTCAACATCTCCCAAAGGCAGAGGAGGGAGAGTGAGGCAAGCCAGGACCAGCAGTCTCTGATGGCATTGGTACAATATCAGACTCCAGGCAACTGAAGAGCCTCCCAAAACTTCCTGGGACCACTTGATTTCAAAACAGAGGTTTGAAATCAAAACAAACCCTTTCAAACAGAGGTTTGAAACCACACAAACCCTTTCCCATCCCTTGCAGACACAGAGGACCTGGGCAAAGCATTTCTTTCCCCTCTGGAAATGAGGCTTTTCTAGGAGCAGTGTCAGGGATGGACATTTCTCTTTAAAACCCTCTGGGATGTCTTGTGAAGCTGTGTTTGGAGGGAGGGGTGTGTATTGGTAACAAGATCTATCTGCTATATACACCCTACAAATTCTGGACTCTGCTGAGCTCAGGGGTTTTCTTTTGTTGCATTTGTGGTGCACAAGGCAAGAACAGAGCCTCAAGTCTATCTTCAGATCTTAAAGATGATTAAACCACAGTGGAGTTAACACATGTGAACAGATTTACAGCTGTAGAAGGCTTGGTGTCCCTTCCACTGGGGAACTGCAGGAATAGCTGCTGCCAGTGGTCACTACATTCATCCATGGACCCTAGGATGGAGTCCTCAGCCTTTCTAGGGACACATGTGTAGCTGGGCCTTAAAACCAGGGAATTTGTGCTTTGCTATCCCCTTGGGTCTCCACGCAACAATTCCTTCAGCCTGAACACAGGCTGTGCCCAAGGATTTTGTTCAGCTTTGCACCCCCTGCCACACTGCAGCCTCCCAATCTCCTCCAGCACAGCCTGAGGTCTCCTTAGAGCAGATTTCTCTGCAAGCAACCTCTCTTTTCTCTGCTTGACCAGTGAGTTTGCAGCTGCATCCACCCCCTGTTCTGACCAACCCTGCAGGGATGTGGGGCCTGTCCTAAGCAGGAGTGGTGATGATGATGATGGTGATGATGATGATGGTGATGATGGTGATGGGGTGGTGTGCAGCAACTGCCTTTTGTTTGGGATAAAGAGGCTGGGAAATCCTGGCCTGGCTGCCTGTGAAGAGATTAAGGGTGGATTCACAGGAATGTACAGAGACAACTGCACTGCACACATGGGCTGCCAGCCCAGCTCCCAGGACAGCCAGGACAGGGATACCAACCTCTGTAGGGGTGCATCTTCCCATCCTACAGAGGCTACTTCAAACAAAGCCAAGCCCACCCTGGAATTGCTGTTTCTGCCACAAAGATGGCCAAGGCCAGTCCTAGCACTGCTCTTCAGCTGCCCAGGGAAAAAGGACCCAGCTCTTGGGGTTTGCTCCAGGA